GATGAGAGAAAGGAAGAGAAAGAGACATTTCCTCCATCCATTGAGTCACCCCCCAGGTTGCTGTAGGGCTAGGGCCAGGCCCAACCAGGAGATTGATCCGAGTCTCCTGCTTGGTGGCTTGCGGGCCAAGTGCTTGCTTTCCCAAGTCATTAGCAAGAGCTGGACTGGTTTTGGAGCAGCCAAGATACAAACTGGCACCCATGTAGAATGTTGGCATTGTGAGCACAGCTTTTCCTGCGGAGAAGGACTATCAGTCCCTCTGGTTTTGTTATTATGAATGAAGCTTGTCGTGGATGTTGTGGAGGTTCAGGTTAAGCTGCTGCTTGTGGCACCTGCATCCCGTATCAGATTATCGACTCTGCTTTCCTGTAGTGTTCTGATCCAGCTTCTTGCTGATGCGTCCTGGAAGGCAGCAGAAAATGATTCAAGTGCTTGGGCCCCTCAGATTCAGTCTGACACAGCTCTGGATGTTGTGAGTATCACGGGAGTGAACCAGTGGATGAAAGATCTCTTTCCCCTCCTACCCTTACTCTGCCTTTCAAGTAGATGAAAATATATAAACTTAAAAAGAAAAAGAAATGAAGCTAGTGGGAGCAGCATTGTGGTTTAATGGGTAAAGCTGCCAGTTGTGGTGCTGACACCCCATATGAATGTTGGTTTATCTCCTGGCAGCTCCATTTGCTGTACAGCACCTGAGAAATCCACAGAGGATGGCCCAGGTGTTCAGGGTCCTGCATTCTTGTGCGAGACCCAGAAGTTCCTGGCTTTGTTCTGGCCCAGCCCTGTCTGGCAGTAAACCAGCAGACAGGAGATTCTCTCTTCCTCTCCATCACTCCTTGTCCTCCCCTCACCACCTACCTCTGCCTCTGATGTTTCCTTTCATGTAAATAAAACCTTTGAATTCAGGCTGTTATGAACATTCAGCATCAAGGTTTTCATGCTTTTAGATTTTAATTTCTCTGGAGAAAATACTATAAAAATGGGCTCACTGGATTATGTAATAAGTTTGTATTTAATGTTAGGAGTGACTACTACTGTTTCTAAGCATGTGTACCATTTTAAATTTCCACTGCCAGAGTCTGGGAATTCCAGCTATTTCATGTCCTTAGCCAATACTTGGTATCTTTAATTTTAACATTTGATGAGTATGTAGTAGAATCTTATCCTAGTTTCAATTTGTATTTTCCTGATAACTAGTAAAGTTGACATCTTTTCAAGTACTCATTTACCATGTCTGTATCTTATTTTTTCACTCTCCCTGTTTTATCAGTTGTCTCGATTTTAAGGGTTATATATTGTTACTGTAACCTCATTATGGAACTTTTCAAAGATTATTTAAGGCGGAGTTCCAGAGAAGGCCAGAGACAGAAGAAGCAGGGCTCTTCCAGGTCCTAGAGTCACAGTGTTGAGCTGAGTGATCCAAAGCCAGGAGCTGCCTGTGGCTCTCCCGTGGGTTACAGGGGAGGCCGTGGCCTTGGGCCGTCTTCCTGCTGCTCTCCTAGGCATGGTAGCGTGCACCTGGGTCGGAAGTGGAACAGCCTGGACTTGAGCCTGCCCCGCATTTAGGGTGGCAGTGCTGCAGTGGCTGCTTTATGTGCTGTCACCACAGTGCCTGCCCCTTTTAAGTCTTCTCCTGGTTTGTGATTGACCTTTTGTTTTTGTTATTTAAAAAAATTTTTTTTTATTTGAAATGGCCAAAGTGGTCAGAGCTGGGACATTCCAAAGCCAGGGGCTTCGTCTCCTCCATGGGTACGGGGGCCCAAAGCTCGGACTGTCTTCTCTACTTACCCGGGTGTGTTAGCGGAAAGCTGGGCTGGAGGTGGGCAGCAGGGACTGGAACCTGAACCTGTACTGGATGCTGATGCCACAGGTGGCAGCTTTATCCATCATGCCACAGAACCAGGTTTTTCTTGTTGTTCCATGTTTTTTTCTTTAATTGATGTTTAACGGTGGCTTTTGTGAATATTAGGATTTTTTTTTCCATAAATTATCCAGTCTGACTTGTCTTTATGGCTGGTGGCTCTTAGAGACTCCTCAGTTCTAGGGAGCTTGGCAGCTGCCAGTTTAGCTTTTCCTCTGCAGTCCTCTGCCTTAAATATTCTGTCCACTGTTTGGTCGGCATTGTGCTGTAATGGACCAAGCCACTATGCCAGCATCAGGTGGGTGCCAGTTTGTGTTCTGGCTGCTCTGCTTCTCAGCCAACTCTCTGCTAGTGTGCCTGGACAAAGCAGAGGAAGATGGTCCCAATCCTTAGGCCCCTGCACCCACGTGGGAGCCCCGGTGACGCTCCTGCCTCTGGCCTACCCAGCCCCAGCCATGGGGGTGTGAGCCGGCTGGAGGAAGGTCTCTCTCTGCCTCCTTCCTTCTCCTCTCCCTGTAACTGCAAATAACGAATAAGAAATAAATCTCTTTAAAAAATGCCTTTCCCAAAATTCTGCTTGTGTCTTTCCCCTCAGCTTATAGCAGGTATCTGTTCCTGATTGTTTCTGCTTCCTCTCTGTGTCCTGTCACCTGGGAAGTGCTGCCAGGCAACAGGCTGCTGCACTCTTGACTTTCATCTCAGGATTCTTTTTATTTTGATCACAAATTATCATACCATGTAGCTGTCTTAAATAATTTTTTAGATGTATTTTTATTGGAAAGGCAGGTGTAAAGATAAAGAGACAGACAGAAAGATCTTCCATTCACTAGTTCACTTCCCAAATTTCTGCCCAGTCAGAGCCAAGCCAGTCTGAAGCCAGGAGCTTTTTCTGGGTCTCCCACACGGGTGCAGGGTCCTAAAGCCTTGCCCTGTTCTCTACTGCTTTCCCAGGCTACAAAAGGGAGCTGGATGAGAAGTGAAGCATCGTGGGCATGAACCTTTGCTTATATAGGACCCTGACACTTAAAGGGGGATGATTAGACAATTATGTCAGTAAAGATTTTGAAATGCAATGTGGCAGTATCTTTGAAGATTATAAATAGCTAACTGGTTAAAAAACAGTAGAGAACCTGCTGCAGTAGCGTGGTGGCTGAAGTCCTCGCCTTGCATGCCCCGGGATCCCATATGGCTACCAGTTCTGATCCTGACTGCCCTAATCCTTGCATGTGGCCTGGGAAAGCAGTTGAGGACGGCCCAAAGCCTTGGGATCCTGCACCCACGTGGGAGACCTGGAAGAGGCACCTGGTTCCTGGCTTAGGATAGGCTCAGCTCTGGCTGTTGTAGCCGTTTGGGGAGTGAACAAGCAAATGGAAGGTCTTTCTGTCTCTCCTCCTGTCTGTATATGTGCCTTTCCAATAAAAATAAATAAATCTTAAAAAGAAAAAAAAAAAAAAACAGTACAGAGGCTGGCCCTGTGGCATGTTAGGTAAGCCTCTACCTCAGGCACCAGCAGCCCAGATGGGCACCAGTTCATGTCCCAGCTGTTTTCGCTTCTGGTCCAGGTCCTGCTAATAGCCTGGGAAAGCAGTGAAGATGGCTCACGACCTTGGGCCCCTGTGTGTGGGTGTGAGACCCAGAAAAAGCTCCTGGCTCCTAGCTTCATATCAGCTCAGTTCTTGCCATTGTGGTTGTTTGAGGGAGTGAACCAACAGGTGGATGATTCTCTCTCGTTTCTCTCTGTCTCTCGCTCTCGCTCTCTCTCTCTCTCTCACTCTCACTCTCTCTCTCTCACTTGACCTTTCAAATAAAAATAAATCTTGAAGAAAGAGTACAGACTTTTTCAGTCACTCAGATCTCACAACCGTAAAATATTTGTAGTTCTGGTATCATCATTTCCTGAAAGACTGTGGAAAAATTACTGGGCAACAGAAGATTCTCACTTTATTTTTCATCTTAAAACAGGTGATTTGAGGTTCTGGGTGTGTGTGCTAATATATGGTCTCACCAATGAGGATCTTAACTGTGTTGCTGCCTGAGTTTTCTGAACTGTGAATGCAGTGTGTCTTTGCAGTAGAAGGTCATGTTGATGTGCTGTAAGTGTTTAATGGATAAACTTTGAGAAAGGGAAGTTTCAGAAATAATTTTGTGTTTGATATGTTTCATGAAGGATTGCTGATGTTGTTGATATGTATGCAATTTTAGTTAACTCATTGCCAATGAGAGTTTGGTTTTTCTTCACTGGTAAAAGTGAGGCTCTTTTCCAATTCTCTGAATTCCTTGGCATCTGGTGATCTTGTTTCATACTGAATTGATTGCTGTGTGCGTTCTTAGGCCACTTGCCCCTAGGACAAACCTCAGTCAGTGACCTTTCTTTTCCATTTGAGAACTCACTTGGGCTTCATGCCAAAGCATCCATTAAAGCCCCAGCTTTTGTTCCCAGGGTTTTTGTGGTGGTGTTGAGGGCAGTGTGTTTGTTTGTAAATCAGAGGGACGGACACACACACACACACCCCACCCCCTCAGAGAGAGAAGGAGATCTGTCTGCCATCCCCTGGTTCACTTTCCAAATTGGTGCAGCTGCCATGGCTGGCCTGAGGTTCCGTCAGAACAGCCACAGGATGACAGTGGCCCAAGCACTTTCCCAGACACACCACTAGCAAAGAGCTGGATCAGAAATGGAGCATCCAGGACATGGAGAGGTGCCCATGTGGAATGCTGGCATCAGAGGCTGCAGCCCAGCTTGCTGTGCCTCAGCACCAGCCCCTGTACCCAGGTTTCAAGGCAATAATGTCTTGTACTCTGCTTTTGAGACTAGGTTGAATATTTTTTTGTCCAAACTCCACTTTGAATAGCACATTTCCCTCTTGTAATAGGAGGGAAAGGTCACCAGCTGCACTTTGCTGCAGCATGAAGTGTTCAGCGAGGTGCACGTGCGGACAGCTCCTTTCCTCTTTTTCCATGCCTTGCATTTGCCTTGGCCCACGTGGTACGTCCCCAGACTGTCAGCAGCTTTGGGTATGCACATGTGTCTGAATGTCCTTACAGAATTTAAAACCTTAAAGGGGAAGGCCTCACACCAACCTGAACCAGGCTTCACCTGCCAGCCAAGTAAAGCCTCTCTCCCTTGGTGTTCCCACAGGAGTCCCCTCAGGACAGCGCTATCACTCGAGATATCAATCGGACATTCCCAGCACATGACTACTTCAAGGACACCGGGGGAGATGGGCAGGATTCCTTATATAAAATATGCAAGGTAGGATATGGTTTTTGTTTATTTGTTAAATACTGGGTTTTGAGTGGTGGTTCTAGTTTCTGATTCTCTGATACTGTGTGAAAGATAACTACAAAGTATAATTCTGTATTTGATGTTCAATGGTACAGAAAAGGAGAGAAAAGACTTTATAAAATGAAACCTGACGGTACAGTTTTTGACCTATTAAGGAGTGAGAACTAATTAAAAATAAAAGGGTGGGTATTTTGGTTTTTCTTCTTTAATCAGGATTTTCAGGTGAAAGTCTCAAGGTTCTATATTTAGACTTTGAAGAACTGGTTTCATGTTGACACCTTCCGAACTCTGTAACATTGCAAACTCCTCTTCCGTGTTCATAGTATCTAAGTGATAAACTTGGCACTGCAGGTGCCATCCAACCGTGGGAATGTAGCAGTGCAGCATAGTAAGTGGTGGTAAATAGTGATTTCTGACAAGAGCTGCACACCTGAAAACAGTAAAGGGAAGAGTTAAATTTCAGTGAACATTTAAAAATAGATTTTAGTTGGCCTGAGCTACAAGGAGTTAAAGGAGAAGTTTTTCCATTTTCACCTGTCCTCAGAACTGCTCTATAGTCTTTTCATCCAGAATTAATCAGGTACACGTGGAGTATCTCCATGTGCAAAGTCTAAGTCATGCATGAAACATGCTCTTGAAGAACTTGCATATCCTAATCAAGAAGTCAGATTAGAATATTTATTTGTTTTTATTGGAAAGGCAGATTTTAGAGAAGGAGATACAGAAAGATCTTCTGTCTGCTGGTTCATTCCCAAAGTGCCTACAATGGCCAGAGCTGAACCGGTCAGAAGCCAGGAGCTTCTTGCAGGTCTCCTACACAGGTCCAGCAACCCAAGGCCTTGGGCTGTACTCCAATGCTTTCCCAGGCCACAAACAGGGAGCTGGATGGGAAGTGGGGCTGTTGGGACACAAATCAGTGCCCATATGGAATCCTGGTGCATGCAAAGCAAGGACTTCAGCCATTAGGCTACTGTCCTGAGCCCAAGAAGGCAGAATTTGTGGCTTGAGGGCAGCATGTCAGCCCCAGGGATGGGTTCTTCAGGGATAAAGTGGATGATGTAAACCATAATGGCAAGTATTTAGAAAAGAATTTCCCAGATTTAATGTTTCATTTTCCCACTGGACACAAAGATACAGTTTCTGTTGTCATCTCTGATATCCTATGTCAGTCACTTCACAGTTATGCCTCCCATTCAAGCAGTCACTCTAGCTATCTAGCGTGAATTTAGCCCTGTTCATCGTCCCTTATCCTTTATCTCGTAGTCCTAACTCCACTGAACACTGCTAGCTCTTGTCTCATGAAGATCTTCCTGGCAGCTCTCTGTTCTTGACTTTCTACCGCATTGGTTATACTCTGATCTCCCCCATAACTTCACCAGCTCTGTTATGGATTTTCGACTCTTTAGCAGACCTTCCCCGGAGCTCAGTGTGTGATTCCTCTAGCCCTTCGTCTCCCTCGTGGATACCTCCCTCAGCTGTCACCACTGCACAGATGACCCCAAATCTGCTTTAACCCAGGGTCTGCATTTCCAGTTGTCAATTAGTCTCAGTGTCTAGTCTGTTACATGTATCAAACAAATGGCTGTAAAACTAGGGTTCAGGTAAACATGTTTTAATTTTCAATCTAGGAAAACCAAGAGTATCGTGAATTTATATATCTCCTCTGATTCAGTGTCTCAGACATCATGACCATAAATTCTGTTCTGTGCATTTCTGGGAAGTAACATCATTGTCCATCTATACTATCCAACAGCTACTCCAAATTCCTATTTCCTTAGATGTTTTTATGTGATTGATTAGAATTAGAACCCAACAAGGTCTATATTACATTTCGTTGCTTCCTTTAACTAAAAACAGCCTTCCTATTTTCATCCATGATGTTGTCTTGCTGAGAATATAATTATTTCTGTCAGTTTTCTTTGGGCTAAGATTATTTTTCTTTTCTTTTCTTTTCTTTTTTTTTTTTTTTAAGATTTATGTACTTTTATTTGAAAGGCAAATTTAGAGAGAAGGAGAGAACCAAAGAAGGGCAAGGTGTCCCAGCAGGGGGGCCCTCCACATTCCCCACCAGCTTTACCTCCTCCCTCCCTGGTTCCTATAAGTGCTGCATCCGGTCTGGCATGGCCTGCCTTACCTCAGTGTTTGCTAGTGGGTGCTTTAGCCTGGCCTGACCCGGCCCACCCCCAATTCCAGCTGGTGAGGGTTACAGTCTAGCCCAACCTAGCGTGTACCCTATCCCAGCTGTAATGTGTACTGGTATATGTTGCGACCTAACCTGGCCCTACCTACACTGTTCTGGTGCTTGGATCTGTCAGTGGCCGGTGTGAACTGGTTCAGCCTGGTCCGCGCCTGACGTGAGCCAAATGTATGCCAGTGGGTACTTTTCCCTGGCCTGGTCTGGGCTTTTCCTTTTTCTGTTTCTTGTGCTTATCTGCAGGGACTGTGCCCTGCCAGAGGAGTTGCCCAGGCTCCTCCAACAGATCCTCTCCCATTGCCAGATTTAACACATGTTGGTGGGTCCATGAGTCAGCCCTACTCAGTCCACCTCCTGTCCTAGCAGGAACAGTGGCCTTTCATGACTGGTCTTCAACCCATTCTGGTTCTTTTTGTTGGATGTTTCAACCCAGCCCAGGCTTGTCCATACTCAAACACAGCTCACATATGGCTCAGTAGGGGTAGAGACCTAGCCTACTCCATTCTACATCTACCCTGGTCCTCCAGAGCACCCCAGAACACAGCCACCACTCAAACTCCCGCACTCCTCAGTGGGAACCTCAACCCAGCTAGGGTGTTTCCTTAGCTCCCTAACCGGACCTGTTCCCAGCCATAGATCACGTGCATGCCAGTGGTTGCTATGACTCAGCTTGGCATAGCCTCTCACCTGTCTTGACCTTTGTGTTAGATGTTGTGGCCTAGCGTCCCTGGCCCATGTAGACCAGTAGGTGTAAGAGTCTAGCTTGGCATGACCTGTGTTCCATCCTGATTTCTGTTTTTGCTTGTAAGCTAAGGTTTGCTCGGCCCTGCCCAGTCTACCCCGTTCCATTACTGACCCACACATTAGCCGGTCATTGGAGCTACTTTGCCCAGCTTGTCCATCCCCCAGGCCTGGACCATGTGTTCACCAGTGGGAGCTATGAACCCACCAGGAGAGTTTCCCAAGTTCCTCCACTTGAGCCACTCCCAGACCCAGTTCTCATTCATGCCAGTGGGTGTTAGGCCAGTGTCCGGCATAGTTTGATTCCATTTGAGTTGGTGAACGTTGCAGCCCGGCCCATTCCACAACCTATTTAGGATGCATATTCAGTGCTGCTGCCTTGACCGGCCCAGACTGTTGCCAGTTCCTTTACCCATGAGTGTTGGCAGACTCCTTGGTCACACCTAGCTTAGTCCATCACCACCCCAACTCTTGAGCTAACCAGTGGGACTAGTATTTCGACAGGGTTTGGCCCAAACATCCCCCACAGAATCTACCCTCAGAAATGGTTTTCTTGTGTGCTGGTTAATATCATGGCCCTGCCTAATGTGACCCGTCTCCTGTTCCATCATTCTGTCAGGTACTAGGATCTGGTCCTGCTAGACAAGCCCCCCAGCCTTAGCTTTTGCATGGACTGGTGTACAGTGATCAGCATTTTTCCCTTATAACAAGTTCTGTTTAGAACTCAAAGGAGGCTGGTATATCTATCTGACCCATGAAGACCATCTGGTCCCTCTCCTCCAAACTACCATGTCTCAATACCCTCGCTTACCTTCAAAGGGAAAGTTACTCTGCCATTGGGAGTCTTCAGGATTGATTTGCAACTCAGAAGCACAGTGGGCTGATCATGGAGGTACCTTGGCAGCAATTCATAGCCCCAAAACCTCAGAGCTTGCTGCCAGGCGGCCAACAGGCAGAGCCTGGTGCAAAATGGCATACTGGTCACACAGGGACAGCTCGCCGCATGTTTGTGGTGGTTGGAATCAGGGCTCTGAGCTTGGGAGTCAAACCTGACCTGGAGCCTGCCAGCAGCTAACAGGCTGCTGGAAGTTTTAACTCCCAGACCCCAACATCACCCCCCCCCCGATCTCATCTACTGCACGATGTTGGCAGTGGGTGGTGCCCGGGCCCATCCTGTTCTCCATATTTCCCCTCTCAGTGTACTCACCAGGAAGGGAGCAGCCTCTGCAGTTCAGGCAGGCCTGGATACAGCTCACTGCAGGTTCGCAGTGGCTGGAATCAGGGACTGAGCATGGGAGTTGGACCTGGCCTGGAACCTGCCAGCCACCAAACCACTTTCTTAAAACTGTATTGGCATGTATAAATCCTAGTGTTTAAGTCTTAATAACCTTAGGATTAGCATCTAATTCTATTAACTATTTCTTAAAGATTTATTTATTTTTATTAGGAAGATTTACAGAGAGGAGAGACAAGGAGGAAGATCTTCCATTGGTTCATTCCCCAAGTGGCCACAGTGGCCAGAGCTGAGCTAATCAGAAACCAGGAGCCAGGAGCTTCTTCTGGACCTCCTACATGGGTGCAGATTGCCAAGGCTTTGGGCCGTCCTCTACTGTTTTCCTAGGCTACAAGCAGGGAGCTGGATGGGAAGTGGAGTGATGGGGCCATGAATCAACACCCATATGGCATCCCAGCAGATACAAGGCAATGATTCAGCCACTAGGTCATTGCACCCAACACAAAGTTTTTTAATTTGATAGGTGCATCATTTTACGAGAAACGCATCTTTGAGAATGTTCATTAGATAAACTGTTGTGATTGGAAGGTGTAACAAGATTATTTTGAATTCTCCTTAAAGTTATGAAAGCATGATTATAGGCATTTTTTTAAAGCCAAATATAAAATCCATTTGTATGTTGTTGATTATCAAGCGATAAGCACCGGCATCATGCTTCATAAGCAAATTTTCCATTCAATCAACTCTGAATTGCTTTCTCAGAATATAGGAACCTTTTATACACAAAATACATGAGAATAAAAGGAGTTTGCCCAGATACACATTTGTCACTGAAGGGAATAGTGTCTTCAAGCTACCAGAATTTCCTTTTTTTCCCATTGTTGCAAGGTAAATGTAATTACTAATCAGAAAACCAGCTCTGGGATCCAGTTTGGTGGCCTAGTGGCTAAAGTCTTCGCCTTGCATGTGCCAGGATCTCATATGGACGCCAGTTCTAATCCCCGTGGCCCTGCTTCCCCGCTTCACACTCAGCTCCCTGCTTGTGGCCTGGGAACTCAGTTGAGGACAGCCTAAAACCTTGGGACCCTACACCCACATGGGAGACTCAGAAGAGGATCTGGGCTCCTGGCTTCAGATCAGCACAGCTCCAACCATTGCCATCACTTGGGGAGTGAATCATCGGATGGAAGATCTTCCTCTCTGTCTTTCCTCCTCTCTGTAAATCTGACTTTGCAATTAAAATAAAATAAATCTTAAAAAAAAAAAAAAAGAACTGCTCTGAAAGACAACTACAGAGCTGGAGAGTAAGGCATGAGGAATGTTATGTGTTAGTTTTCTATTTAAGATAACATTCAGAGGAGACGGGTAGTATTCATCTGTTGCCAAGAAAAATAAAAATAAGAGTTCAGAAGATCCCACAAATGGTTTCAGAGTTATCCTTATCAGAAATGTTATTACTGGCCTTGCGGGAAGAATTGTGTCTTGGTCTCTGCCAGAAGACTTTTTCCCAGCAGAAAGATGAGTAACATTCATGGTGTTAGTGAGTGCTGGCTGTGTGTGAGGGGCTGGCAGGATTGAACGGTGCCTCACCCCATTCCTTGGGACGCTCACAGCCCAGCAGAGCTGATGCATGTAAGATGCAAGGTGGTAAGTTCTCCAAGAACCATGCGTGTGTGTCAGCTACCACAGAGGCACAGGGAAAGAGAGATGAATTCTGGAAGGCATAGAGTATGTTTTGGCCACAAGATGTGGCATGGTGACAATTCTGTTTCTTTGTAAAGAGGCACTGGGATAGGGGAGGGCATTGCACATTATTCTAGAACATTGGCATATGCATAGCATCACGCAGGCTTGTTTGCTGGAGGCCCCACTGGGCAGCCATGGCCCGTTAGTGGCTGGTTACCCTCATTTTTCTGTAACTGTGCCATCTTTTCCCCCAGGCCTACTCTGTGTATGATGAAGAGATTGGCTACTGCCAGGGCCAGTCGTTCCTTGCTGCTGTGCTGCTCCTGCATGTGAGTAACCCAGTCTCTGCCTACACGAGCCTCAGGCTTGAGCACTGATTCGTTTGGATTTGACCAGATTCTGGGAGGACTTGTAGTTCCTGTATCTGGAAACGTTTCCCCTGTGTCATTGTGGGAGGCTGGTGTCCAAAAGCGGTGTGAAGAATGGCTTCCGTACTACTAGTAGGAGCACTGAGTGGATTGGGATGGACCCCTGGGGACATTTATCTCCTCTAAAGTAGCCACTGTGATTAATATTTGGGGATTTATATATTGTCGGGTAGAGAAGGTGGCTTTCTCTAAAGCTATTTTATTCTTTCATCCATATTTCACTCATTCAGCAAAGACCTTGACCCTCCAACTTTTGGACTTTTCTTTCAAATCCACAGGGAAGTTAAAAATACAAAATGAGGGCCTGGCATGGTAGCCTAGTGACTAAAGTCCTCACTTTGTGCAAGAGAGCTCCCATATGGGCCCATGTTATAATCCCAGCAGCCCCGCTTCCCATCCAGTTCCCTGCTTGTGGCCTGGGAAAGCAGTCAAAGACAGCCCAAAGCTTTGGGACCCTGCACCCGTGTGGGAGACCTGGAAAAGGATCTGGGCTCCTGGCTTCAGATCAGCACAGCTCCGACCATTGCCATCACTTGGGGAGTGATTAATCAGGATGGCAGATTTACTTTTGTCTCTCTTTCCTCATCTCTGTCATACTACCTATCGGTATCTCTGACTTTGAATTTAAAATAAATATTTTTATTATATTTTAATATTTTAATTAAAAGAAAGATTACTTTTATAGTATTCTTCTTTTTACATTTAATAATTTCTTATATTTAATTCTCTGTGCTGCTTTTAATTGCAATTAAACATTTTCTTTTTTTTTCTTTTCTTTCTTTATTTTCTTTACTTTTCTTTTATTTATTTTCATTTTATGTTCTTTCTTTTTTTTTCTTTTACTTTTATTCTTTCAGTATTTTATTTTTTTTTTCGGAAAGTAAGATATAATAGAGTAGAGGACAGAGAGGAAAAATCTTCCATTGTTGGTTCAATCACCAAGTGAGTGATCGGCTGGTGCTTGAACTAATCAAAAGCATTAAGGAAATCTACAGGTCTACACAAGGGTGCTGGGGTCCCAAGGCTTTGCACTGTCCTTGAATTACTTTACAAAGGCCACAAGGGGAGCTGGATGGAAGTGAATAACTGTTATGGGTTGGGGAATTGGCAACAGTATTGGGATCAAGGCTAAAGGAAAGGAGAGTATTCAGAGTAGGGACAATGCATCGGGCCCCACATTTTCTTTCTTACTGAAAATAAAAAAAGGGTCTTGAATGATTTTTGAAGAAAAGTAGGCAAACCCTAGATGCTGCTTGTTAATAATTTTGGGCATGTTTCTATAAGGCAAGGAGAAATTATGTGACTTGAATGTCATACAACTGTAAACATCCAAGGAAATCCGCATTGGTGAAGGGATTGTCTGATACAGTGTACTTTTAAGATCAGCTGGTTGGTCTGTCCATTCCACAAACAGGAACCAGGGAGGAGTCAAACATTATATGTGGTTATTTCATTTTTCTAATCTAGACAGTTTTCTACCCATTTTTGCTGCTGTCAGATTTGAAAACTTCAGAGAAACTGTTGTAACACAATCCCACATGCTGTGTGTTAGACCCTTTCAAGTAATGGCAGTTAAAATAGCACACCTCTTCTCCAGGCTGTGCCGGGGGTCAGGGGCAGCGTAGTGCCAGTGCTCATGGTGCAGAGCCAGCGAATTCCACCTGCTTTGAACCAGCTTAGGACCTGGTGAGCTTCCGAGAGTTCGTAGGAAAATGAACCAAAAGACACTGTGTATTTTCCAAGAACTTTCTGGAGACAACGGTTATAGCATTACTAATTTCACTAATGGAATGATGGTGTGAGTTTGGTGTAGGCTCGTTTACAGTACAGGCTCTCAGGAGGAGGCAGCGTGAAGGTCCACTCGAAACACTGAGAAGGGAGCATTCTCTTCTGTGCTTTTCTGTGCCGTTCAACTTTTTTTCTGCATATGTTATGAAAATAATACTTTGGAAAGCAGAAGAGTTAAAAGAATACAACATTACCAGAAAAATGGAACAGAAAAATGTATAGAAGTTCTGGAAAGGGAAGGCAGTCAGTGGGGAGAAAGGCTGACAGGAGGCCGGCGTGCCTGCAGCACAGTGAGTGCCAGGTCAAGGCGGGAAGCAGGAGAGAAGATGGCGCAGAGGGGGAGGCCATGGTGGCATGGGGGCGTGGGGGCTGTGGGGGCCGTGGGGGCTGTGAGGGTGTGGGGGGCGTGGGGGCATGGGGGTGTGGGAGGGCATGGGGCATGGGGGCCGTGGGCCCGTGGGCCTGAAGCAGAGGCCGTGGGGGCCGCGTCCCGGAGACTGGGTGCCGTCTGTCTTAGCAGTGAAAAGCTCGTCCAAGGTATTGGCCGTGTTGTATTGACTGCAGTACGAGTAAACAAACACTAGTTTGTATTTTCTTCACTGTGAATCTAGCTTAGTGATTAGTCGTGTAAACAATGTGAGCATAATCTGCTCATAGCGAGCTCAGGCTTTAAACTGGTTTGAGGATTGTTTTTATCAGACTGCATGTATCAAAATCTTGCAGGCCTGCCTGATTTCTCTTTTTTTATCTTCAATCCAAGGACATATTTCCCAATCTAAGCAGGTGAACTCCTTGAAAACAGGGTTTCCAGTCGAATCCTCCTTGTCTTGATGAGCACTGGGCTGCTCCCCCCAGTTTTGACACAAGTGCAGGTTTCGGTGTGGGAAGAACTGGGCAGTTGAGCGTCAGAAACGCTGCTGCAGGCTGGGGCACACGCTGCCGGCAGGTGGAAAAGTGCTGTTGCTTTCCAGGACAAACTCCAGGCTCGGGCCTTCTGACTCCTAGCCCTTACCGATGCTGTTGTGCAGCTCTTGTCCCTTGCTGAATCTGCTTTGCTGTTCAGCGCTGCTTCACTCAGCAATTTCTGAATTAGCCCAACTCCATCTTCTCATTCCACAGAAAGGGAAGGGAAGTCTGCTTCCCTTTCTCAACTGTTTTGAAGGTTTGCTGTTATAGTTACCAAAGCCTTAAATTACATTTTTGTACCTTTTTCCCCTAGGCCTCTTGTCAGTTTCCCAGGAAAATACTTGTTACAAAACTATAAAAGCTGTAGATATAGATGAATGGGTGCTATTTATTAGTAAAATTAGTTTTCATAGTGCTTTTAGCATTACTGAGTTACTGTAGTACTTTTAGTATCAATGCAAACCTCAGAATTTGTGAGAATCTTGTATAACAAGCTTTGATTTAAATATTAAGAAATAAACAATTAGGTAGCAGTGCTTAACAGAGATCTCATGATTTAGAAAAGATGAAACACAGTTCTCAACCTGATCCTGCCCAGCTCTGGTCTTGTCAGTTGACTCTGCGGGGCCTGTTCCTGACTCCCTAAGACAGTTCCAGGTCTTCCTGCTCCTGTGTTCACAGCCTTTTTCCCTAGTTTGCATCTCGTTTATTATACACCAGTCACCAATCATGACTAATCATTATACCCTATTTGTACGGAGACTCCCTAAGAACAGGAAAGTACTGCCATGGGGTGAGCGTCTTTTCAGTGTCTCTTGGCTGAGGGAATGAATGTTGTAAAACACAACCTGGACCTGATTTTCCGCATTCCACTTGCTTTCCTGGTAAGACAATAGAAGGGCAAGTTTCATGTCCAGTGACTCCCTTCCTGCCCTTGCCCTCCCCCAAGCATTGCCTGTCTTTTGCAGATGCCTGAAGAACAGGCATTCAGTGTTCTGGTCAAGATCATGTTCGACTATGGACTCAGGGAACTTTTCAAGCAAAATTTTGAAGATTTGCATTGCAAATTTTACCAGTTGGAGCGCCTCATGCAGGTAAATATATAAGTAAATAAAAAGCCAGCTTGCACTGGACAGCAGGAGTGCAGCAGGGGTGGGGCAGGGTGACTAGACTGGCGAAACTGTGCCACGATTTAAGGACAGTTTATACTTTGATCACTTCTGTGGAATGGTAACACCAAGCTTTAAAGTGTGTGAACTTGGTAGCTGTGAACCCGAGTCTCGGGCCTGCGAGTGTTGAGATTGTCAAAAAGTGTTTACTAAGGCTCTGCAGCTGGTGACGAAGGCCAAACAGACTTGGCTAAAACGTTCATAATTTGGAAGGGAAAATTGCCTGTCACAGTTTTAGGGATTCCTCTTTCTTCAGAGATAGTGTGTGGTTTGAAAAAGGGATCTGAATACCAGCTTAAAACAAGATGCTCAATGTTCTTTGGAGCACTTTAGAGACTTTTAGACAACACAGTATGTGACTTTTTAGATTTTCTCCATGGCAGATTTATAAGCCTCTTGAGTGGGAGTTGGACCAGCCTTGTCTGTGCCCAGCACTAATTAGCTTTCTGTTTCAGGAGTACATTCCTGACCTGTACAACCACTTCCTGGACATCAGCCTCGAAGCACACATGTACGCCTCGCAGTGGTTTCTGACGCTCTTCACTGCCAAGTTCCCTCTCTACATGGTGTTCCACATCATCGACCTGCTCTTGTGTGAGGTGAGTGCCTGCAGCCAGGGCGCTGTGGCTCCTGTGGGCTCTGTCTGTCCTGTTACTGTGTTGCAGTGTGATCAGTTTAGGCCTAAGTAACTCTTCTTGAGTTAAAGCTGCTGATCCCATTTGTGGTTTTGTTTTTTTTGTTTTCTAAAGATTTATTTATTTACTTGAAAATCAACGGAATGAGGAAGAGACAGATAGCAGGTGGCCTCATCAGCCAGAGCTGGGCCCAGCCCACGTCTGGAGGCAGGGGCTTCACATGGTGTGGGAGCCCGAGGAAGTGAGCCTTTCTCTGTGGCTCTCCCGGGACACAGACAAGCAGCCATAAAGGATGCTGACACCGCAGGCAGTGGCTTCACTGCTGGTCCCCATCCCATTTGCTAAAGGTGCTCTCTGCTAAGGAAAATGCGTTAAGCACAAAGAATCCCAAAACAAATCACGAAATAAAACATAAGTTCTTTGCTTTATCTCTCATGTAGAAGAAGTCTGAGTAGCCTCGCTTTTCTAATGGCGGGTTCTGGTCTATGGGTGAGCCGTCATCTCTACATTCAGGGCACAGAGGGAGTGTGTCCTTCCTGTTTCAGACAGACTTCCTGGAAGGTGCACTCAGCATTTCTTTTCTTGGTCAGAATTTACACCACCATACTGGTTACAATGGAGATTATTTTTTAAGCTGGTTAGGAATTTGCTAAATACTGTGAATTTATTATTAAAGAGAAAATAGTGGAATAAGTGACAGTCTTTTTTGGACGTAATTTTGAGTTTTAGTGTATGTAGTTAAGGGAAAAAATTGTAAAAGAAAAAAAAACTTAGTGTATTATGGAATGAATAAATAAGCCAAAAGAATTTTAAAACATGTTTATTAGGTAGTGTTTTTTGTGTATTCTTGCACCCATTTTTATGATAAAATATGTATCTGGAATTTTTTATATAATATATAGTATACATTGTGGCTATATGAGTGTATATTTTAAAGTATAATTTAACTATTTGCATTGTTATCATCTTCATTTCATCCACATGAACATCTGTAAACTCAGACATCTGTATTATGCTGCTTTCTGATTAATTAGCCCATGTTTGAGCATGTAAAAATCAATAAAGGATTTGCATTGGCCACCTAGCTTGAAATTTTTTTAAAGACTTATTTATTTGAAAAAGTTGTAGACAGCGGAAGAGGCAGAGAAGGGGAGAGCTCTTCCATCCCCTGGTATACTTCCCCCAAATGGCTGCAGGGGCCAGGCTGAGGCCAGACGCCAGAAGCTTCTCCCATGTGGGAGCAGACACAATGACCTGGGCCGTGTTCTGCTGCTTTCCCCAGGCATCAGCTGGGAGCAGGATGGGAAGTGGAGCAGCCGAGACTTGAACAGTGCACTTAGGGGATGCTGGCGGCATAGGCAGCGACCTTATCCTCTCTACTTGAAACAGTCCAGGAAACATTGTGAGAAGCGAAATCATCACATACACCGCTGTTCCTTCTTGCTTGTGCACAGCTCATATTTGGACATGCCATAACTTACATGACTGACCTAACATTTAAACTGTCTGCTTTTCCACTTTTTAAAAGTAGTGAAGTGGTTATCAGGAACTTGGTGGCTTGCTGAGTAATTTGTATGTACTTTGAAGATAATTATCTTAAACAAACAAACAAACCTACCAGCCTCTAGGGGAACATTAGTATAGGAGTAGGTGGTAGTAGTAGCCCAGAGGCTCAGAGTAGATTCACCTGCTCAACAGCTGTTCAGGCCTCTTTGTCCTTTGCCCCAGCTTGCTTGGAGGAAGGAAAGCAGGCAGGGAACGCGGGTCTGAAAGGCTTCTCGGCAGTTATTTCCTGAACCTCCCCAAGTTCTGTTTCTACTCTGAAAATTTTCTTGTCTTTCTCTTTCAGGGAATCAGTGTTATTTTTAATGTCGCCCTCGGATTGTTAAAGGTATGCATAGATTTGTAAGCTGAGTTTTCTGGCAGTGTTTGAGACGTGTTGTGTTGATCTTAGTCTGATCCTGAGCGGCCCCGTGATTTGGTCTCGCCCGTGACCCTGGGTCTGTGCACGAGGCTCTGACAGGAGACTGAGGACACTGGGGTTGCACAGTGCTGCTGGTCCAGCTTCAGAGCAGACTGTGTGTTTCTGCTCTCAGACTTCCAAGGACGATCTGCTGTTGACTGACTTTGAAGGCGCCTTGAAGTTCTTCAGGGTTCAGCTGCCCAAGAGATACCGCTCAGAAGAAAATGCAAAAAAGCTGATGGAATTGGCTTGCAACATGAAGGTAAATCATTTTTGCATTAAATAGATGCTTTCATTCAGCCAGTATCATGTTATGCCTGACAGAACTGCTAACATTTATAATATGCAAGGGATAATACAAGCGAGTTATCTCCTTCTGAAATGTTTGAGACCGTAAGTGTTTTGCATTTTACAATACTTGCATAATGAGGTATTTAGGAGCTAGAGCCACATTCTAAACACAGAATTCACTTTTTTTTTCCAGCAAAAAGGCATTTTATTGGATTTTAAGATTTCTTTTTTTTTAATTTTATTTTTGCTGACTTATTACTGAGTTGATCAGGGTGATCAGGGTCAAGGGCTATAGAAAGGTGAGAGAGATCACCCTTGCCACATTCTCTTTTTTTTCTTCCTCTGTCTTGGGGGGAAGGCGGAAGATAAAGAGAGAAGCCACACGCATCCTCTCAAATGCCCCTGCACCCTGGGATGGAGAACAGCTACCCAATACCACCCCTGGGTCCCCAGTGTAGGGCATGCTATGAGGGTCCTGCTTAAGAGGCTTCGATATTTCAATAGTTCCAAATTACTGCCGACCTCACCTCTCCAGGCATGGTGAAATCTCTCCAGAATCCACTGGTTGACATAATGCACCTTAGTCTCCATTTGCCCAGGGGACTCACTGCCAACACTTGCCTGGGGTAGTTGATCTGTTTGTTCTGTCCTCCGTTATGGTATCAGGTGTCCTCTGCAGACGCCAGTGTACTGCCGTATCTTCCATGTGCACTATATAAGCTGTCCACTGCTCCATCTGAGCCACTGAGGAGGCCTAGCTCTGACACATGCACTCCACGATTAGACCATAGAACATGCAATTCTGGCTGGGGTTCTGAGTCCAGCTGTACAGTTGGGGGTATTCCCAAAGAAACTTTATCTGAGGTGATCCCAGACATGATTCTTGCGCATGTTTGCCATTATAGGGTCTGTCACAGTTGTTGCTCCAATCAGCTTATGCACATGCTGGTGGTTGCAATTGCTGTCTCCAGCCCTGTCTTCTATACAAACCACTGTATGTTGCAGCCCAGCCTGATCCTGTCCACCACACACCTGGCTTTCACATACACTAGTGGGAGTGGCCACCTAGTCAGAGCAACCCACAGTAACCCCCACTGGGCCCGCACCCTGTCCTGGTTCCCATGCTTGGCAATATGTACAGCAGACTGCACATACTCTATATCTGTCCCACATCCCATTCTGCTCTCATACATGTCAATGAGCACTGAAGCCTAGTTCAATCCAGCCAGCCTCACTATCCAGCCCACACACATGCTGCGGGTACCACTCTCTGTCTAGCCATGCCTGCCCTAGTCCTGGCTCTCATGCTCATCAGTCAGAGTGGCAACCCAAGAGAGAAGTTCCCCACTGTTTCCCTACTGGGCCCACTCCCAGATCATGCACTCTCTAGGTGGTTCTGCAGGTTACCTTGACAGAATTTGCCCCCAGTGCCAGCATCTGCCAGCTGATGCTGTGGCAAAGCTCAACCAACCTACACATACTCTGAGTTATGCTTGCACCAGAGTGCAACAGTGTAGGAACAGTCAATCTAGCCTGGCTTTTCCCTGATCCAGCCCACATTAGGCTAATAGGTGTTGTAGCCCTGCCCAGTCTGGTCTGTCCCCATTCTAACTCAAACTCTCCAGTGCGAGTGGTAGTCCAGCAGGGGAGCCCCATGCAGCCCCTCTATCGGCTTTGTCCCCTCACTCCCTCAGTCTCACATGTGCTGGTTGGGCGCTGTGACCCAGTCTGACATGGCCTGCTTCTCCTAGACATTAGCCAGTGGGTGCTATAACCTGGCCCGGTCAGCCTTCAATTCCAACTCACACTGGTGGGAACTACAGCTTGGCCTAGCCCTTCCTGCCCTAATCCTCGTTCTAATGTGTACTGGTATGTGTTGTGACTCAACGCACATTCCATTCTGGTGCCAGCAAGTGAACTGGCCCTGCCTGGTTCACCCCCAACCTGCACCAAATGTATGCCGGTGGGTACCATTCCCTGGCCTGGTCTGGGCTGCTCGCTATTATGCTTCTTACACTCGCCTTCAGGTACTGTGTCCTGACAGAGAAAGTTTCTCATGCTTCCCCATCAGAAACTGTCCCAGTGCCAGATCTCGCACACACCATGTACCATGGGCCAGCCCTACTTAGTCCACTTCCTGCCCTAGCAGGAACAGTGGCCTTTCCTGACCAGCCTTCACCCATTCTGGTTTTTACTGTTGGGTGTTACAGCCTAGCCAAGCCTGGTCCACACCCAGACACAGTTCACACGTGGCTCAGCAGGAACAGAGACTTAGTCTAGCCCATCCTACACCTACCCTAGTTCTCTTGAGCCCCAGGGTCCTGGAGTCTAGCCCAGTCTTGTGCACCTCAGACTCAGCCCACATTGTGCCAAGGGACACTGCAGCCATGCCAAGACTAGACAGCAGCCTCCACTCTGACCTTTGCATTCACCAGTGGGAACCACAACCCAGTCAGGACGTCCCCTTTGCTCCCCAACCCAACCAGGCCTATTCCCAGCCACAAACCTTACACATGCCAGTGGTTGCTCTGATCCAGCTTGACGTAGTCCCTCCCTGTCTTGGCCTTTGCCTTTGGATGCTGTAGCCTGGCCTGACCTCACCTGCTCAGTCTGTTCCCATCCCTGGCTCATGCAGACTAGTAGGTGTGACAGCCTATCCCAGCATTACCTGTGCTCTAGCCTGGTTTGTGCACTTGCTGGTGAGCTAAGGTTTGTTTGGCCCTGCTTGGTCCACCTCTTCCAAAACCAACCCACACGTTAGCCAACAGTTGAAGCTACCTTGCCCAGCTTGCCTGACTCCAAGGCCTGGACCACGTGCTTGCCAGCAGGAGCTGTGACCCACTAGGGACATTTCCCCACTTAACCCACTCCCAGACCCAGATCTCATGCCAGCCAGCGGGTTCTAGCCCTTGCCTGGCATAGTCTGCTCCTCCATGTGGATCTAATATGAGCTGGTGAATGTTGTGGCCCAGCCCTCCCAACACCCTGTTTTAGGATGCACGTGTGGGTGCTATAGCCTGTACCTGCCCAGACCCGTGAGTGTTGGCAGGTTCCATGGTCACACCTAGCGCAGCCCATTACCATTACCATCTTGAGCTAACCAGCAGGACTGTATTTCCACAAGGTTTGGTCCACATATCCCGCACAGAATCTACCCCTGGACCTGGTTTTCTTGTGTGATGACTAGTGTCATGCCCCTGCCTAATACGATCCGTCCACTCTTCTGACACTCAGTCAGATACTGGGATCAGTCCTGCTAGACAGGCCCACAGCCCTAGTTTTTACGTGGACTGGCGTGTGGTGGTCAGCCATGTTCCAAGCTAACAAGCCCATCCCCGGATTCCCATTTAGGCTGCTGCATGAGTCTGACCCATAGAGATCTTCCAGTCTCTCCCTTCCAATCCACCAGGTCTCAGTCCCCTGGTTTACCTGCAAGTTCAGTCTGTCATTGAGTTTCCCTCAGGATTCATTCTTCACCTACACATGGATGTCTCTAGGCAGTAATTCCAGACCCTTTAGAATCCAGAGCTCACCAGCAGGCGGTCAGTAGGTGAAGCCCAGCTCCATTGTCGCTCTGGCTGCCTGCAAACCCAGGACTCTCATACCTCGGAGCAGGCTTACCTGGACTCCGCCTCCAAATTCACTTGTTTTTTCATGTACACTCTGAACATAACCTCAAGAGTTTGTAATGATCGCTGCATTTTACCTGTGACCTGCCATGTGGAATCAGGGTTGGAATATTCTGCATGTGACAGTTCCCCACAAGTTTCAGATTGTGTAGCATTATGGGTTTTATATTTTCACATCATAGATGTGTAATGATAATACTTTTTATTTTGTATGACGTAATTATTACCTTTTTTTTTCTAAAGTGCATTCCGTAGCCTTGCATCTGTAGATCTGTGTCTGTACCCACCGTGTACCATGTCTGTGTACGGTACCTACAGAGCTTTACCCTGGCCTCCTCTATGATTCCATCTTGTATTGTGTGTTTTCTCTCTCTTTTTAAAAATCTAATTTATTTATTTTTATTGGGCAGCCAGATTTGCACAGAGAAGGAGTTCCAGAGAGAAAGATGTTCCATCCTGGTTCACTCCCCAAATGGCCATAATAGCCGGAGCTGCACCAATTCAAACTCAGGAGCCAGGAGCAGCTTCTGGGTTGCCCGTTGGTTAAAGGGTCGCAAAGCACTGGGCCATCCTCTGCTGCTTTCTCAAGCCGTAAGCAGGGACGTGGATGGGAAGTGGAGCAGCGGGATATGAACTGTCACCCATATGGGGTGCTGCACCTGCAGGTGGAGGATTAGCCATTTTAGCCAACACACTGGTCCCTCCCCTTTCAGACCTGGCCTTGCTGTTCTCAGACACAATGAGCGTGTTTACCCCCAGGTCTCCCACTGGCTGAATGCTCTAGGCCTGTTGTCTTCCAGGTGAGAACACAGCTTCTTCATCCAGGCTTGGGCTCCAGTATCAGAGGAGTGTCTCTTACTATGCTGTGTGAGGCGGCACCTCCTTCCCTCCCTTTGCATCCTCTAGTGTTTGCCCTGTCATCTTCCCCCAGTGGAATGGCTCTGCAGCACAGAACTGCCTCCTCCTTGTTTACCGCTGAGTCCTCAGCACCAAGAACGGGACTGCTGTGTAAACAGTGGCTGCGTGGCTGAATACATCTTGTTGTGACCGTACGAAGTGCTTTACAAGGAAAGTTAACATGGGTTTGGCACAGCTTGAGAACAGCTTAACCAGAGATTTTGTCCTTTGGATTTTCATTAGCTTAGAATACTTCAGGAGTATGTATGGACATTACTTCCATAATCCAGATGGGAGGTAGTTGGATGGCTCTTTCTTCCTATACTGTCCATGAGGCAGGCCTGCCACCATTGTGTCTGCACAGCACATGTAGTTTGTATGTGGATGTATAATTCTTTCCAGACCTGGAAAACATCTCATGTTTGGGGCACTTTGGATGACTCCC